GAAAGGGACCCTGGAAGTCTGTACAGGGATGTATGACTGCGTGTATTTGTTGCCAGGTATCTAAGCGTGAGCAGTCAAGCTGAGGAGTTATCATAGATTCATTTAGTTACAACTGAATGGACATGCAATGGATTCTGTCTGTCAGGAAAAATACCCTAGGTACTAGAAAACAAGATGCTGGCAGCCCTGTTTAAAATTAAGCCAAAAGAAAAAGCTGAGGCTTAGTATTGTTTCGGAGCTACTTTGTTAAACTAGACATTTCCAAAGGAGCCTGAAGTTACCAGATTTTTTTGCAAGGCTATATATTTTCCAAATCTAACAAATGTAGCAATCCTCCCAAACATTCAACTTCAGTGTCCCAAACTCCAACCCAGGGCCATAGATCAACACAGATGTCATCTTATTACATTTAAAATGGGAGTAAATAACCTTCAAAGGTTGCAGATAAATAAGTTACGTTAAGGAAGAACATTAGAAGAAAACTGGTGGTGAGCATAGTTATTTTATTAATTTTTAAAAAATGAAGATATACTGAAGGGGTTTCTTGTCACTATTTTGAATAATCCACTTTGCATTCAAATTTGTTAATTGAACTCATGTATTTCAAGCCACGTTAGAAACATGCTACAGGAGATGGTGGTTTAGTCTAGATGTTAGATGGCTGTACTGTAGCCTGCAGTAATGACTTAAGCTATCGTACTTTTCGAATTCTGATTAGCAAGTCAGTTTGGGTATTTGTGTCAAACATAATGGCCTTTTGTGCTTATACAGGATTACTGAACTTGACTAAAATTGGCACTCAGGCTTCGGGAATAGGATAATATTGGAGTCTGCTAATAGTGCATAATCACCACATTCCTAGTTGTAAATGTTCTGTGTCAGAAAGATTTTTCTAACATTTGTTTAAAATTATTTTGCATCAGTGTGACTTTGTTTAAGTACAGTTTATTTTGCTCATCAGTTTTTTGCCAGAATTCATTGTTCCAGTAAAGTCTTTATTGTCCTGTTCTTGAAAAATGTTATAATATACAATTTTTTAGGTTGTGAATGTGGATATGCCCATTACAGATGATTCAGAGCTCCAGAAGTACTCAAAGGTATGACTTACATGGTGGTTTCCTTCATGGTATATGTTGGCAGAGTAATCCCAGGAGGGCATGACACAATTCTAGATTTGTGTGTTTCAGAAAATTAGTGGCCTTGTGGCTCTATCTTACTTTCCCCAAAAAAAGATAAGCAAATATTCTGCTTATCTTCTGGACTGGTCCAATAGCTTTTCATAGCATGGGCAAATGAACCTTTTCATACACACACCCACACACCCCATGCAAACAAAAAAACCCAAACAACCCCAAACCGTGCATATAATTCTCAAACTTTGGGGTACTTAATTGCATTGAAATTCAGTTGTTGAAAGCCACCACAGAATGCAGCAGAGTTTGAAACTCTGGTGAACAGTGTTGTCATCCTGCAGAGGAGTTTGCCATAGTGATCCTGGCTCAGGGAGAGGGAGGTCCATTTAATTGAAATGGTCAGAGCTGAGATTAATTTCAGTTTTCTGAGACTTTTGAGAGAATTTCAAGATATGTGTGTTAACATTGTGCAAAAGAGATTTGTGGAGGTGATGCATTTATATATGTGTGGGGATGCCTCAGTGAAGAAGGATGATAAACTCATGGTCAGACATGGGTGTGAGGGAATGTTGAGGATCAATAGATTGCTCCTTTTACTTGAATATCCAGAATTAATTGGAAACCACAAGGACAGTCAGTGTTTCAACTTAAGTAATAAAAACCCAGAAAATGGCCAAACTGAAGGAGCAGGTACTGCTGATCATCTCTTCTCCCCAAGTTGCCATGATTTCTGCTGGCTTGTCTGGATAGTGTATCAGTTTTATGCTAGTCTTCCTAATATTAGCAGACCTAAGACACTAATGGTTGGAGGCTCCCTAGAGAAAAATTCCAAATTAAGGAGGCCCACTGGGAAAAGGCTAACGCAAAATCAGCGATTTCACCTTGCAGAAATAAGGATGCCAGTATTAGCTATTTGCAGAGGACGTTTCACGTATATTTTTCCTACCTCAAAGTAGTATAGCTCCTAAAGGAATAAAACAGCTGATCTTATGATGAGTTTTTATGGTGATTATGGAATTTCTTTTGGTTTTGTTGAAAACTCACCTTTTGGGTAGGATGGTCTTTAGGTGGTACTTTTCTCTGCATTTTTTCCAATGTGGTAACCTTATTTAAGAATACAGTTCAAATTGCCTTTTCCCCCAAAGGGCAGATTGGTTGGTTTTGTTTGTGCAGTTTGTATAGACAAATTATGGACACTTGTGCTGTAATGCAGATGGTGTCAGTATGAAGTCTTAATCATCTTACTGTGTGCCTAGTTTAATTTGGTGAGCTACTGAATCCTAAATGTGTTTATATTGTGGTAGATGAAGATACGTACATTCTCAACCATACTTACCTTTTGGCAGCTATTACCCATCCACACTTGGAGATTAGGAGTTGAGCTTGACACGTTTGATGGACATCATTATATATCATCAATTGCTTCGGAAGGTCCAGCTGCAACACTTGGTCTTCTGCAACTGGAGGATGAACTTCTGGAGGTAAAAATCAAACCAAACCTCCCCAAAAATAGAATTGACAGATTTCCTGTTTGCTTACTCTTCTTAAAAATGCTTGTATTAAATTCTAGTTTGTCTGCTGTATGTGCAATAATAGTATTCAAGAGCTGGTTGTGGAACCAGTTAGAGTAGTACTTTGGAAGTCACATTTCATTTTCTTTACTGTTTCATTCCTCCTTTATGGACAAAATGTCAAATTCTTGTGACCTCTTAGGGACTTCATGTTTATATTTTTTTCTGAAATGTTTTAATATGAGTATCAAGAGTTGTAAAGGCAGAGCTAATATTTGTGTTGAGTGTATTTGTATCCATAGTCCTTTAGCTCAGTCTTTTGAGCAATTTGGCATTAGCTTTTGTGGTGGATAATCTTTCTTAATATTTGTCACTCCTAAAAAATTTACAACAGTCTTAGGAATAGTGGTTACTGTTACGCATTGTAACTCGCTTGTTGAGTGTTGAAAGACATTTGTGTGTATGAGCTAGTACATCAGTTTGTTTAAATATGTATAAAGACGTATTGGGACAGTTTTGAAGTTATTGGAATCAGACCAGACCTATTTGCTCAGGAAAAATATTTATTTGATAGTATTAAAATAATACCTATTTTGTGTGTGTGTATGTGTATCTGTCAGTATGTCATCTTGCAAGTGAAAAGACATTAATTTCCTGTTGAATACCTGCTCTTTGCTCAAATCAATATTTTGAATTTGAACCTTTTTTAGTGACTGCAGAAAAAATTTAATTGACATCAATGGGAACAGAATTAGGCCTCCTGAAAGATTAATTTGTTAGGTGTACAGCTCTCTTGCTTGTACTTGTTGTTCGCTCTTTAACATCAAAAATTCATACTGATACCACTAAGACTTAAAACATTTTCTTCAGTTATTGCTTAATGGAAGAAATCTTGATTCCTAAAGGATTAATGGAATGCTGGAAGCGTTGTTTAAATTCTTTGGCCACTAGACAAAAAATTGTGTACAAAAAGTAATAATGCAGTGCTGTAGAGTATCTTTGGAAACTTTAATTGTATGTACTTAACAGTTTTACTTATTATTGTGTACTTACAATTAAGTTCACAGATACGCCCAGACCTAGTGAGCATAAATTTTTTTTCCTCTCTGTAGCTGGAAAAAAAAAACAACAAAATAAAAATGTGCTCTGGGGCTAAAGCTACATATGCCAGGTTTAGCCCAGAGTATGTTTTCACAGCCAAGTTATAAATCCCCTTAAGTAGGGGTTTGCAATGGAAAAAGTGACTGCCCCATTCCCCAAACAAGCAGCTTTACCTGGGCCTGATACAGTTGGGATTAAAATGTGATCAGCAAAGAATTCTTTTTAATATATAGTGAGGTTGCATGTTGATTATTTTTGACGATGTGTTTGAATTATGATAGAAAACATGGTATCCCCATCCCCCCAATTTTAACTAATTTCATTATGTTCTTTTTAGGAGTAAATTGCTTCCTTGTGCCCTAGTGTTGTTCTAAAATTTCACTCGCTCCTATTTGATGGCACAACTAATGAGGGTGGTGTGGTGAATGAATGGGCTGTAGGGCACCTTGCATGTTTAGAGGCTGATATCTGGCAGCTGCGAAAGAAGAATTGGGAGTCCGCAAGTCTGCTTGGGAGTGTGCGGTAGCTCTTCTCCATCCATCACAGTATGCTGAGAAGTGCTGGTAACTTTCCACCACGCTGCCACTCTCAATGCATTAAAAAATCCTTACGCATAGATACTTTTGCTTAAATAATTAACTAATGGATTAGCCTGATAGCTCAGCAGTTGCTGTAATTCTTACAGAAAAAACCCATAGCAGTTCATCTTACCATGTGGGAGGCCAGTTACACCACTCTGAATTTTTCTCCTTGACTGTGTTATAGTGTGAGAGGAGTTTCCCAGCAGTATAAGCTATATTTACACTGTAAAAAGCACAAAGGAAAAAGTAGACAAAAAAGAGGTGATCAGGAAGAAGATGGTGGCTAAAGTGAGATTGCTCTTTAGTCTTGTACAAGATCGAGTTTCTTTAAAGAACAAGGAGATCTGGGAATTATGGCAAGGCTCTGCCTCAAGTACGCAGGTACAGAGGTGTGTACGTGTATGTTGTGTATTTACGTGCTATATCTTCTAGGGTCAAATGGGGGTTCATTTCATTAGCATTGCAGTTTGGTTATGGAGTGCAGTATTAAAGAGAATCTTCAGTTATCCCCACTTACTGTGTGTCTTGGTTTGAAAAGACAGGTGT